CACGCGGCGCTGCGCGGTGCCCCCCGTACGAGCAGCCGGCTGCGGCACACCGGCCTCGCCTCAGCGCCGGGCGTCCTGCGCACAGGGCTCTGAGCCGCCTCACCACCCAAGCGGCAGAGGTGAACACAGACCGGGCTGGGAGCCCTCGAGATGCTGCGGAGAGCACAGCCCGAGAGACCAGCACCCTGGGCTGCTTCCTATCCACATCTTGTGATGAATAACAAGTAGAATCACTTAAGCTGCCCCAAACCAAATAGGTCTTGTGTTAAAAAACAGCAAGAAATTAACCTGTAGCTACTGGGGAGAGCCTCAGGAGTTCCAAGCCTCCCCTTCCTTCTCACGAGAATTTCAGATGCTACAATGCCACTAGCTCTTTAAACTGCCTGCTTGAGTTTTCTTCCTTCTTTGATAGGTTTCACCTTCTGCTCTCCACTCAAGCCAAGTGCTTCCTGGCTGCTGGAAGTATCAGTTAATCAAGCTCTCATTCAGAAGGGCTGTGGAGGTAGTTCACAAACCGAGTGGGGCTTTCATTGCTCGTAATGGAGATTAAGCAGCAAATAATTCAGCCACCTTCTTTAAACAGTTTGGTCTCAGTTTTTTGAGTTAGTTTGGGCTGATTCCTCTATAATCTGTATGAACTCTTGTACTGTGTAAGAAGTTAGGTCTGCAGTGTAACTTGTCAAGATTGTACCTGTACTTTCTGTGCAGCACGTGATTAGCAGTGTATTCACGACTTGGTTTATTTTATAAGTTGTTGGTGAGATGTCAGTAGCTTAGCATTCAGTTTTCTGGTTGGCCATTTATTTGTAAAACCAAGTTTAATCAGTGTGGTCACAAGTGGACACAATCACTGTGTAATTACTGCCATTAATTTGATGCAAGGCAAATCAAATTTAGTTCTTCCTCAGCAGGCTTATGCCAGATTTTGTAATGATTTCCTCCTTCAGTAGTTGTAGCTTCTTGGGTTGTGAACCCTTGTGTTACCTCTGCCCCCTCCCGATTTCAAACAGATTTTGAAGGAGCCTTACAGCTCTGGGACCAGGAGATGATGATATTGGTTTAAGTTTTGAGTAGTTTGACTCAGGAGTGTAACGTGAAGCTGCAGCCTCAGTGAGTCTTGACTCTAGCTGAGAGACTGTGAGGACAGCTAAGGCAGGGAGCCCTGAGAGGATGGGGCTGGTGGATGTATGGGAAACAGTGTTTGACTGCAGCTCTGGGATGCTCTGGTGGGTAACCAGTGCCTTGATTTACACATCCAGGGTAAAGGGTAACTGGTAATTGACTTAGAAAATATTTTGCTGTCCATTAAAATTCCCAGGAAAGGCTAAACACTGCTGTGGAGACCATTAAACTAAGTTATTGTTAATCATGTCAGAGAAGACAGTCCTGTTTCTTCCTGGCAAGGGCCTGTTCTACCCACAGAGACTCCTCAGGCTCAGCATTAGGCAGGTTGGTTTTAGCCAGGCACACATACAGACTTGTATATATTTATATGCTGCAGCCTGTTCCCACTCAAAGCACTTCCCAGACCTCCCTGCTTATAGGGCTACAAACTATACATTTACAGAAGGCAAATTTCTCATCTCCTTCAATTAAAAGGCCCTTTTGTTTTCTGAGTGAGGCTAACTGCCCTTCTCTGCACAAGTCACGATGTGACTTGTGTTCTTGTGGGTGTGTAACCAAAATTACATATGAGATAGTTGGTGAAACTTCACCTGTATCTTGACTTCTCCTGGACCTCTGCCTTCTTCTTTCCAGCTCAGTACCACTGCTCATAAAAAGCACTGTATTTATGGGTACCATACTTTCCTGTCCTCTGTCACTGCCATGTCTTCCTCCCTTGTGTCAGTGGAAGAATGAGGACAAGCCTCTCTTTCTGGGTTAGTGTCTCCAGAGGTACCTGACAGAGGGAGTCTTTTGCTGATCCCTTGCCCAACATAAAATGATTAATTATCATTAATGGGGAGACCAGCAACCAGACTCTTCCCTCGGCTACCACATCACACACAGAGATACAGAGGGACAGACAGCCTGGGGAGGAACAAGTCCATGCACTCACCCGCTGCGAAGGGCGCGAAGAAGGGAGCGAGCCGCACCAGGAGCCAGGCCACGGGAGGTGGAACCAGCCAGGCAGCAAGGCCAGATACTGGCATTTTCCCAGAGAGAGACTCATCATCTCGCTCTGCTGTCCTGGGAACTCCACTTGCTATGAAAATTCAGGGAGCCCTTTCAGTAACCAGAATCCCCACACAACACATCCACTGCACAGGCTAACATCCCAAATGCACTGCAAGCAGAATCCATTCTTTTATAATTGGCTTCTTGCCCCACCTCCAAGTTAATGTGGAAGGTGAGGGCACCTGGTGGAGATCTCCTCATCAGTTCCCACCCAAGGCTGGCTGGACCCTGGGTGAAAAGCAGCCATGAGGGTCTTTCTTGCCTGGTTGTGGACATCATCCATATGCCAACCCTCATTCAGGACTGGGGGTTTAACCCCAGCACTGCAGGGAGGAGGCCATGTACAGTTGGCTTGTAGGGCAGGATTCCTGGGGTTTAATTTCATGACTAGGGAAAACAGCAATGTTCATTTATGTCCTGCCATGGTCTAATGTCTTCCGTTTCTTCTCTGCTGAACACAAGTACTCTGCATGACTTGAGGAATTTTACGCTTAATTAAATTGTAGGTCTAGCTAGAATTTCTGAGAACAGCTTCACTTTAGGATGTTGCTGTTACTGGAATCAAAGCAGATACAAGGTAATGTGCTTATGCTGACCCTGCTTGAATTTCCAATTTTGATAGTGAGGAATTGGTAGGAGGGGATCCTCAGTCCTTTCCCTGAGGACCAGAACACCAGCTCTGAGGTCTGGAACAGCTACACTGGGAGTAGCAGACATCATCAATATTTCTAACTATTTAACTTGAACAAGAATATTGCTGACACGCTCTCAGCAAACAACAGGGAGCTATAAACAATGTGTGGGGTTTTTTTTTCAGTATTCAGACAGTTACTCCTTCATGGAAAGTGTCAAGCAACTGTCTACACGGAATTAATACGGTTACTAGGTAAAAGGAAATAACTTTAATTCTAAGTTATTTCTGAAAGTGTAAATTCTTGTTCTGTAGAAGCTTTTTATATTTTGCTTACATTTGCATAAACACACACAACACTTAAGGATTGCTTTAGCTTTGGGAGAGACTTGGGCTCGCTGGGCGCTAGGTGTGTGCAGGACTGAGCTGGGCCCAGCCCAGTGTGTCTGTGGCAGCAGGGTGAGAGCTGCAGCTCAGGGACTGCAGCAGCAGGACTGTCTGTGGGCCGTGCCCCTGCTGCTCCTCTGCCAGCCCCAGCAGTGCAGTCAGAAATGCTGGAAGGCAGTGCCCTTGCCTTTTCTTGTCCACGTCTCTTCCAAGAAGTGTGGCAACAAGTTCACAAGGAAGAACTTTTCCTACAGGTACTTGCAGGATTCTTGGCTGTAGGTCTTTCCCCTGCACCTTCTGCATGTAAGATTATGGGTAGTGCTTATCATCTGTGATCAGTTAGTACAAGCAGTACCTAATGTCTCATCTACTTTTTTGTGTTCCTTTAAACAGGAATATGAACAGAATTCAATGACTGCTGATGGACTGTTTTTTTTTCTTGGCAGGACTTTTTGAAGATTCATGGAGTGAAAGAAGAAACAGCTAATGGCTTCAGAATCTATGCTCCCAGAGCAGGCAAAGCAACACGTGAGCAAGGGGAAGAGGCAGCAGCAGCAGCAGCCCAGATCTTCCAGCAGCAATGGTGAAGACGACATCTTTGTATTTGAAGCAAACGAGGCTTGGAAGGATTTTCACAGCTCTCTTCTTCACTTCTTTGAAGCTGGCGAGCTCTGCGATGTTACACTGAAGGTGATATTGTCACACATCCATTGCATTTAACAGTCTGAATATGAAGCTGTGAATAGCTGGAGGTGTGCTGGAGATGGCTGTGAATGTGGGCAGGGGCATGGAAGCCATAGGATACCCGTTGGATCTGAGGCATCTCCAGATATTATCATGTTTTTTTTCGTATTTAGAAAATTTGCAACTGAAACGTGAATGCTTAGGTTGATAGAGGAAGTACATTACTTTGGCCTCAACCAGCTTGCCGTCTAAGTGAGTTCCCACAGTTAATTGCTGTATCACTGTGCAATTACAGCTCCTTGTAGCCTCTGCTCTCACATGCACTTTCATTTCCAACTTTATCTCCATTTTTGCATTGTGTTGCTCTGCTAGATGTTTCCTGGCAAACAGGATTTTGGGAACAAATCTAACTTCCAGCATTCTACAAGAAAGAAAAAAAAAATCAAACAAACAAACAAACAAACAAAACCAAAACCAAAACCAAAAAAAACCCCAATAACCAATCAAACCAGACAGCTATTCTACATCTGATCAAAGAGTAAAGGAAGAGGAGGAAACCAGTTTTATGATTCTTGCATAGCATTACTTTAATGCATTCTTTGTAACTCAGCTGTATATTTATATCCTGATCACAAGGAATTTATACCTGGCATCCATAACAGCCCTTGGCAGCACCTACAAATAACAAGTATTGCTTAGCTAAACATCTTAGTAGTGCAAGACAGTTAATTAAGCAAAAGAGATGGAGTGTAGCTCCTATACTATATGCAAATGTGTATATAGTATAGGAGCTACACTCCTATAGTAGTATATAGTATATACTATACTATATACTACTAAATGCCTTTAGGAGAAACTGCCTGCCTGACACTTTTGATATTAGATATTAACAGGGAAAACCCTTGACAGATGTGTGTCCCTCATGCCCCCCAGTAGGCATCTCATCTTTCTAAAACACTTGGGACACAATGGACATCTCTTGAGAGGAAGAGGGTTTCTCTCCCTTCTGCCCCAGTGGGCAATAGGAGTAGAACAAGCAAGAACATTTTTCTGTTCAGCAGCTTCTAAGTTGCCTGTCAGCAGGCACTGAGCAGGCACCAGGTGCCGCAGAGAACAGGTCCAGTGGCTCCTAACACTTGGGTTAATGCTCACAGGAACTGAATGACAACACCTTCATCCAAAAATGAACATGTGATTCAAGTCTGTTGGGGAAACTGGGCTGAGTAACTTGGCCATCCCTTAATGTTAATGCAGAGAGCAGGCTGACAAAGGCTGGAAGAGAGCACTCCTGTAACACAAGTAAGCAGTGGATTGTTCATTTAACTTCAATATTTACATTCTCTTTTAATGTAATTGAATTCTAGAATTTTCTAAGTGAAAAGCTTATTTTGTGCTTTCTGATCAGAATTTTGAAAAATGCCTCATCTTTATGGGGAACACTTTTGTGTCTCAGCAGCTTCTAAAAGTTTTGAAGTGATTGCCAACTTTTAATAATCCCTCTAGTAGCTGTTATTACTGCAGTTTTACGTGGATTTGCTTCTGTAAACAGCATTATCAGGTCCTCAATAATAGTAGAAGTCCAAAGGTTTAAATGAAGTAGTCTAAAAATGTCACTCTACAACCCCTCCACCCTGCCCCTTAAAGGCTCTGAACACACATGGAACAAATGCCTAGCAGTCTCCTCCTGTCTCCAAGGTGCATCTAGAAGGTTCCTAAGGATGTTTCATTTCAAAAATAGGCCACGACTCCTAAAGAAAAGCACGTGCATTGCAGCAGTGCTGTTGCTTCCTGGTGTTACAGCCTTGGCCTGCTCTGGTGGCCGAGTTACAGCTCATACCTGCTTGGGATACACTGATGTAGTGTCAGAAGGACAGGGCAAATGGAGTTAATCTGTTTGAACGAAATGCAGTAGCTCGATGCATATTGAGTTCAGAATTCTTATTTCAGCATAACCATCCATCCTTTCACAGCTGGAACTGACCTTCCAGTAAAAGATTGGGGTGGGGTTTTTGTTCTTTTTTTTTTCAGGTTGGTTCAAAGCTGATCTCCTGCCACAAACTGGTGCTAGCTTGTGTTATACCTTACTTCAGAGCCATGTTCCTTTCAGAGATGGCCGAAGCCAAGCAGACGCTGATCGAGATCAGGGACTTCGACGGGGACGCGGTGGAGGCGCTGGTGAAGTTCGTGTACTCCTCCCGGCTGACGCTGACGGTGGAGAACGTCCAGCCGCTCCTGTACGCCGCCTGCATCCTGCAGGTGGAGCTGGTGGCAAAGGCGTGCTGCGAGTACATGAAGCTGCACTTCCACCCCTCCAACTGCCTGGCGGTGAGGGCGTTTGCAGAGAGCCACAACCGCCTGGACCTGATGGAGATGGCCGACCAGTACGCCTGCGAGCACTTCCCGGCGGTGGTGGAGTGCGAAGACTTCGTCAGCGTGTCGCCACAGCACCTCCACAAACTCCTCTCCTCCAGTGACCTCAACATTGAAAATGAGAAGCAAGTTTACAGTGCTGCTATTAAATGGCTGCTTGCCAATCCACAGCATCATGCCGCGTGGCTGGATGAGATACTTGCACAGGTAGGGCAGACCGGGGCGCCGGGGGCCTCTCTCATCACTGGCTTAGCTACACAGCAACTGCATGTACTTAGCTAGAGCTCACGGTGAGAAATGGTCTCAGCAGCTGGTGTCTCATCTAGTTGGTGTTCACAGCTGTGAGGTGACAGTGGAAGCAGGTTAGATCCTCGTGAACACCAGGAAGAAGTTGTATTCTCGTTTCTGTAGAGAAAGCAGTACTCCCTTTATGCTCCTGGCCAGAGGGTGGGGAGCCAACAAAAAGCTCCATCTGTGTGAGAGCAGAAACTTGTTAGATTGACACATAGTGGAGAACATAAAGCCATCACTTCACTTTGTCTGGTACTACTGCAGCCTGAAATGCTCACTTCCTTTGCTGGTATTTGTACTTTAGAAGGGAGAGGAGACTTTTTTTTTTTACACGGCTAGGAAAATAGAACTGTAACAGAGATGTGTCAGATCAAGTCATGGTAGTTCTAGAATGTTCCATATATTTAATTAAGAAAAGACCAAGATGTGTTAGCCATATGAACAGGCTAGGGAACGTAGGCTAGAGCCTTTAATGCTCAGTAGACTAGCACTGCTGGTTACCTGTAGGATCTGAAAGGAGTTTGCAGCTTAATTGTCTAGACTTGATGCGAGTCCACTGCTCCTGAAAGAAACACATGCAGGTATCAAAAGGTCCCTCAGCTGAACTTATTTAAACAGCCATCAAACCACCTCCTGTGAGGTGAGTGTGAGGTACTTCGGTTGCTCAGGCTCCATATGTGCGGGTTGTGGGAGTTTAAAATACAGCACCTGAGTCAGGTAGAGTTCCTGTGCTGGGGAGGAGGGGGTGCCTGCCATGTGTTGCAGAATACCCGCTGTGTCTTAGCAGGCAGGATCAACTGTGCTGTTTCAGTCACTGAACTCCAACCTCCAACCTGAATATTTTGTATTTGGCAGAATTGCTAATATTGGCGTCAAGTGAGTCAGAGACATCCACTAACACGCTGCTGGCACTGCCTCCACGCATCGTTTTTCACATTTCCTGGTAAAAGATCACAACTGTTTATTAATGGTCTTCTAAAACCCCTCAGTTTCATTTAGACTAACATGAAGTGTTTTTTTGTACAAAAAACCCTTCTTTAGTACACTATAATTAAATTTCCAGGCAATACAATTTGAGATTCTAAAAAACAAAATCCACGTTGACTTTTACTGCCTGGTCACGCTAGCACATGAGATTAACAGCTTCTGTTCATGGAGACCAGAGTCTAGAGTGAAAGAATGAAAAAGTAAACCCCTTCCTGGGCATACGAGTTGTTTGCCAGAGTATATGGAGCCACCAGTTGGACATTACTGCTAGCAGAAAACATGACAAGGGTTCTCGATGGTTATTATCCACATCATAATTGGACTTATGGGGTTTGCCATTATAATGAGGTTCTGAATTTGTTAGCCTTGATTCCTTGCTGCCTCACCTAACCTCATGAGTCTGTTAGCAGGATTATGGTGGTGCTTTTAATCAGCCTAAAATAAGGTGGGCCAAAATAAAGGAAGAATTGGGACTGAAGGCAAGTGGTTAAGGAAGAAATGGTAAAGATGCTTACTTGAAGACAGGGACACTTGTCAGCCATATCATAGCACCATCCTGCTGCTCCAGTAAGCACTGGAGGTATGGGGCTTCTCCTTCAGCATTGGTTCTGGGCTAACTGGGAGCTGCTTGACAGCACTGACTCCAAACCTTATAAGTCAGGTGGTTTCTTTCAATTCCCTCCTGCTAAGACCTCTCCTGCCTTTGTGCCTGATTGTACTTCCTGTTCCTCACAAGGACAAATTTCAGGTTTGCTGAAATAAATGACTGTAGGGAAGAGCACATTTCAGGGCAGTCTTGGACGGACAGGGCAGATCTGAAATAGGTCAGGCACTGTGCATTGCTCTGGGCAATGACTGCCTGTAGCTTCACCCAGAAGGAGCCTTCCATTCGACAGCCTGCTCACCAGCTCTCTTCTGGGGAACCACAGGAAGGATTTGGGGAAGGAAACAATTAGCTCTTGTCCTTTTTTTCTTTTGTAATCCTGTAGTCTGTCAAGTCCACACTAGAGAGACTTGTTGCTGCACTAGCAGCTTAAGAGACACCTGGGTCACGCTGACAGCGTTTCCTTTTTCATCTGCCACCCAAAGAAAATGAACCATTCTAGCAGCAGTTCTGTGCTGCTGCCCTAGCAGTGGGCTGGAGACCCGTGCCCGGCAGACCTCACTAGTCGGGTGGCAGGCGCTGCCCTGTGCACCCCCCACAGGCGGCTGCAGCGCTGCCCCCCGCCCAGCCTGGCCAGCAGGCAGTGCCCCACTGCTGTGCCAGTGCAAATGGTGGCACCAGACCCTTGTCCCCAGAAGAACTGCTCCTCTGGCTGGTGCTGGGGCACGCAGGGGGGAGAGCCGCTTGTGGCAGGGCAGGGCCGGGCAGGGCAGGCCAGGCAGGGCTGGGCAGGGCCAGGGCAGGGCCAGG